ACTAAACTCAAATCTCAACATAGATTTAGCCACCAGGGTATTGAAGTGATTTTAAAAATCAGCTCATAATCTGATATGCTTGGTCATTGTTGTCCACAAAGTAAAGGACTTCGCAAACTACACGGGTTACGAATAAAACTCTGTTCTTACTTCTGCATTTCAACAAAAATGCGCCGAGAACAGCAGTTCGCTGAGAGTTCGATATTCATAGAAGGAAGTCGTCGATACTCCGATGATGGGGGTGAGCATGTCAAAAATGCTCATTCTGTAGCTAAATCTGCGCTATGTTTATAGAGTGCTGCAAAGGCATACCTTTAGCCCAGCAAAACTCCTTACAATAACTTACAATAAGGACATATTGTGAGTCAAACTGTTTACAAGTTTTACAACAACTCAATATTTGGTTTTTAATGATGAACTTCACTGCTTCTCATGCCAGCTATTTGATAAGAGGAGTTAACGAAGCTCTAACGCAGGAACTCGTAAATAAATAACATCTCAAGCTTTTGCTTTTGGAGCTTTAGCAGAGATCAGGTTGAAGATATCAGTGTTGAACTCATAAACTACATGGCATTAGTAAAATAAGGGAAATCACTACTTGGGCGATAATTAAGTTAAAGAAGAGCTTTAAACACTTCGGAAAAAATTGGTTCACTTAACTGATAAGGCAATTAGTGGTCTACTTATAATGCAATTTGTAGCTAAAGGAAATGTCCTTATAAGATTATTTTTTGGCAATATATGTACTAGAGTCGATGTTCAAAGCGAGGCATTTCTAGCTTGTGGATAAATATTTAATTGGATTTCTTTAGTTGAATGGCTGAGAGAACAATGATGGTTTATTTATGTTTACTCATTTTTTATTTAGAGGTAAGGAGGTGATTGAGTAATTGAAATCAGTATCTTCAGTTTTTTTTCTAGTGTGGTCACACTTTCCAAGTAACTCATGTGAGCGAATGTGGAACAACGCGAAGCTGCTGGCTTTTACCGAACGGTTGCAAAAGTGCTGTTGACTGTTCGGTAATGGTCACTTGGAAACACACGGGAAGAGCTCTTCTTCTTGAAATTGAGGTAGTTAAGAAAGAAGTTTAGGACTAAACTAATTTTCAGAGTATAAAACGGATTTACAAATACAGTCTGCTCCTCTGATAGTTTTTACTCATGCGCCTGTTGAAAGGATATTTCATTAAAAGAATTCTGCCTTTTTACCCCTCCATGAACACTTTAGGCCAACTTGAAAGTGGAAAAAAATGGCGCGTGGTTAGCTCTTGGGATCTCGAAGGACGATCTCATGGTTTGTCCTGCACAGTTATGCATTTCACACCTTGCATCTTCTACTCATCACCTCAACTTCCAATTCAGGGTAACGATACCGTCTTTGAATGTCACTTCCCAAATAAAGGAAAAGGCAGTGTACATCTGTCACATAATCTCAAAACCTCAAACATAATGCTACGAGAGGTAACTCCTTTTTTTTGCGAGTTTCAATTCCAATTTGTAATGAAGTTTCATTTCCTATTTCTACTATAGAACTTTAGCGGATTTTCAATTACAGGCAACGGAAATGCTTTTGAAAGACGGGTACACAGAAGTAACCGATGGTCGAGCATTTTGCGGCGCAGAGTGGGTGATCGACTTCACAGTTCTTGATGCGAAAGAAAAAAAGATGGTAGGCATTATTGTAGACTTATTCACATGTGCAATATCAATAAAAGGTCCAAAGT